TATATATATATATATATATATATATATATATATATATATATATATATATATATATATATATATATATATATGTATATGTATATGTATATGTATAAGTATATATATATATATATATATATATATATATATATATATATATATATATATATATATATATATATATATATATATATATATATATATATATATATTCTAGAAACACAGTAATACTCTAGCTGCGGACCAGTAAAATACACTGTAATATGTCCTACCCTGGAGAGCACAGCTAATGCAGTAAAGTGTTCGGTTACATCAGTACCTTACGGAAAAGGTTAGTCTTTTACGCTCCGTTTCAAATATTGACAAGATATACCAGAAACTAGAATTTATTTTTTCGTCCTATATAGGTTCTTGTAGGTACATGTATGTATAGATAAAATATATATATAGATAAATTAATAAGTATGTGTATATATATATGTATATATATATATATATATATATATATATATATATATATATATATATATATATATATATATATATATATATATATATATATATATGGACGGATGGATGGATGGACACATATGTGTGTGCGTAAATATGTATGTAAATGTATACTGTATATCTATAACTATATATATACCTATCTGTCTATCAATCTATATCTGTCTAACTATCTATACCTCTCTTTCTCTCCTTCTCTCTCTTTATATATATATATACATATATATATATATATATATATATATATATATATATATATATATATATATATATATATATATATGTATATATATGTATATATATATATATATATATATATATATATATATATATATATATATATATATATATACATATATATATATATGTGTGTGTGTGTGTGTGTGTGTGTGTGAGAGAGAGTGAGTGAGTGAGTGAGTGAGTGAGTGAGTGTGTGTATGCGTGTGTGCTTGTGTGTATGTGAGTGCGTGTATGTCTGTGTTTTCATACCTATTTGTCTATCAGTCTGTCTGCCTATATACCTACCTACCTATCTATATTTATATACACATATACCTGTGCCATTATACATTTATCTATCTATTTTTCTATCTATCTGCCTATCCACCTATCTACCTATATGTCTATCAGTCTATCTATCTATCTATACTGTATGAATATTAGTATAGATGTAGAACAAGATTATGTAATTCTAAAATACATGACATGGAATTGACATGGAATCTCCCAAGTTAGAAATATTTTATTGTAATAAAAAATTATTCCCGTGTATAGTTTTTTTATATAATTTCTTGTACTGACACGTAAAATTATTATTATGATTTAATTTTGAATTAGGTAACGTGATTTTTTTTACATGGAATTAACACAAGCTAGTAAGACAATACATGATATGAAAAGTAAATTAACAAATTTAAGATGTTTGAGAATTCTTTCTAAACTCCATACAGCTTTTCCATCATGCAACTCGTAGTCATAACTCCTTTTGGAAATATCAAATAAAAAAAAAAATTTCTTTAACCCCCTTCCCACATTTTTCTCAAACTTTCAGCGCCTTTTCCTCCATTTCCTTCAATTAACTACAAGTCCTCTTCTCTGTGGCTTTAAGCAAGAGCCTTGAGGAAAGCGAAGGATCTCACTTAAAGATTAAACAGAAAACCTGAAGGCATAGGGTATTAGTTCAATGGCTGTGTTTAAGACGAAGAATAAGACAGAAAAAAAATGGTTTCTCCATTTTTTTTATATTCTTTTAATGTCTGTATGGTATGATCTAATATAATTGTTGCTATATTAGTGGAACAGGACACAATCTTTGTATAATTGTTACTATCATGAATCCAAGATGATTTTGAGATATATATGTATTTTTTTCTTATTTTCGTTTTTTCTTATTTTCGCTTTTCTTATTTTTCTTATTTTCTTTTTTTTTCTTTGTTTTCCTTTTTTTCTTTTTTCTTTTTTATCACATGTTATTTCTGTCATTTCGCTATGGTCGTGGTATTTCTTCTTAATGATATTGTTCTATAATCATTGTTGTTATAACTCTAACCCTCATATCTGTCTTCACTTTTATGGCCATCATTGTTATCTTTATTAACAATGACATTAAAAGCTCTATGTAAATATATATAAATAAATACAGACTTATCACTATTATCCTTATCGTTATCTCTCTAATGTCATACTTTGATTCATGACACCTTTTTAATGATAAACCTTTATTGTGTTTCTGTATTATCTTTAAATGGACATCCGGAACTAATAATTGTGCTAACTCACCCCTCTTATTGCTATCTATCTATCTATCTATCTATTTATCCAACTGTTGGTCTATTCTTCTATCTTCCTTTCAATTATCTTCCCTTTTATTCCCCGATTTATTTTTCCCTGACTTGCTTATTTCGGCCAATTTTGATTATTTGATATTACGGTCGAAATACACACACATATAAAGGGAAATATCAAACGTATAAAAGAACAACAACAAAACAAACAAACAAAATAAAGATACATTAATTTCCGATAACTTTCACACCCATTTGCTATTTTTCCAAAATGTTTACATCGTTTCAGAATTTTACGGTTCTTTGCTCAGCAGAATTACAAGATAAACTGACACAGAGCCATTAGATTATCCAGTCAATATCACAGTGTTAATAGGATACGTACGTAAAGTATTCTAAATCAGTATAATTCGATAACTAAATAAACAATTTCCTCTCTCTCCTGTTTTTTTATCCTTTCCTTTCGCTATCTTTTAAATTAGTCTGCTATATTTGAATTTGTTTTATCGCTTTGCATTCGAATGGTTAATGTCTTTATTTGCATCACTACGATATTGTTGCTAAATTGCATCTCCAATTTATTCATTAAGATAAAAACAACTCAACACACTGATTATTATATTAAAGAGTGTTATTACAATTCTGTGTTATCGCCAAGGTCTTCGTTAATTAACGATTTTCGTGATTATAATATTTGTGATAACCATCTCTTCGAAAATAAATGTCTTCGCATTATCAGTTCCGCAAATAATAAGACAAAAATTATAATGATAATGATAAGCAAAAGTGATCATGATAACGATGGTATAAAAATGTGATTCCAGCGAGGGAAGAAGGGGAGAGGGAAGAGGGTAAAGAGAGGGAGAGGGAGAGGGAGAGGGAGAGGAAGAGGGAGAGGAAGAGGGAGAGGGGGAGGGAGAGGGAGAGAGAGAGAGAGAGAGAGAGAGAGAGAGAGAGAGAGAGAGAGAGAGAGAGAGAGAGAGAGAGAGAGAGAGAGAGAGAGAGAGAGAGAGAGAGAGAGAGAGAGAGAGAAAGTGAAAGAGAAAGTGAAAGAGAAAGATGAAAAAGAAAGATGAAAAAGAAAGAGAAAGAGAGAGTGAGAAAGAAACAGACAGACTGAGAGGTAGACATATATACAGACAAAGAAAGATAAAGATCTAAAATCAAGTTATATCACTATCAAATCACGCCAAACAAAACTATAAATTCTCTCCTTGTCTGGATAACGCACTGTTCAACAAAGTGCCCGGAAGGTATAGATTTTAGCACCACATTTTACACACGAAGAAATTGAACAGAACTGAGACCTAAATTACCATGCAACCTCGTTACGTAAAATATCACAGGTCAGAGCTTAAGAGCCTTTGGTAAGTGTTTAAATATATTAGTTTGAAACATTGCTACATCGGTACAGATATAATTTGATATCAATTCTATTTACTGTATTTGTCAATTGAGTCGACAAAACAGACACACACAAACACACATTCACACATAAACATAACTTTACACTCATACACACAAACATATAAATGTTCGTATAAATGTGTACGTGTGTGAATGTATGCGTCTTTGCATGTGTATCTTTCATATGTTCTCTGTGTATTTATGTATACATGTATGTGTGTGCACCTTGTGTGATTAATGTATAAAAAGAAAATTGTGAAGGAAAAGGAAATGGAAAAAGGAAGGTGAAGAAGAAGGAGAAGAAGAAGAAGAAGAAGAAGAAGAAGAAGAAGAAGAAGAAGAAGAAGAAGGAGAAGAAGAAGAAGAAGAAGAAGAAGAAGAAGAAGAAGAAGAAGAAGAAGAAGAAGAAGAAGAAGAAGAAGAAGAAAGAAGAAGAAGAAGAAGAAAGAAGAAGAAGAAGAAGAAGAAGAAGAAGAAGAAGAAGAAGAAGAAGAAGAAGGAATAAGAAGGAGAAGAAGGAGGATGAAGAGGAGCACGAGGAGGAGGACGAGAAAGAAAAGGAAGAGGAAGAGAAGGAGAAGGAAGAGGAAGAGAAGAGGAGGAAAATGATAAAAGGAGAAAGAGAAGAAGAAGGAGGAGGAAGAAAAGAAAAAGGGAGAGTAATTAACATATACCCAGGAGACGCAAAAAGGTAGGGGGGGGGGGGGTAATCTAAGCAAAAAAAAAAAAAAAAAAAAAAAAAAAAAAAAAAAAAAAAATCTTTATTCTTTATTTTGTATTACAACTTGCGTATTCTTTAACTTACGTGTTTAGTTAACAACTTCTCTTTCCCTCTCTATTATGAACTATTATGGAAATTGTCTTTAATGGAGTTTAAAAAAGCTAAAGATTATATATCAACAGTAATGGATGTGATAAAGGCACTTAAAATATGAATGATACCAGGAAATAATGTATTAGTAATAATGACAACTGTCAGACTATAAAAAAAATAACAGAACTTGCTGAATCATTTATAACTACATTTCGTGGTGCAAAGTGCGAAGACTCGTTCCCTGTCGAGGTCATAGGGTACTGAGGTCAAAGGTCATTGAAGTCATAGGTATCTGAGGTCATAGGTCACCAAAGCCATAGGTATCTGAAAAAGTCACAGGTCACTGAAGTTACAGATCACTGAAGCCACTGATCACTGAAGTCACTAATCACTGAAGTCACAGATCACTGAAGCCCCGGATCACTGAAGTCAAAGCAACAAACAACAGAAACAGCAACACCCGCCCTCGTTTCTTTTTATTCCTTTTTAATTTTCATTTGTTTTAGCTTTCAGTCGCTCTTCGTACAGCGATACGCAATCCCCGCTGTCATGAATTCAATGACACAGGCAAGGTAAGGACTTCATGACATGTGACGATTGTACCTTGTCACGGGATCAAAGCGCCTTCGTTATATTTGCTACTTAAATTTTTTTTATAGATAAGTAGTATATATACATGTCTGTCTGTGTGTGCATGTGTGTGTTTGTGTGTGTGTGTGTGTGTGTGTGTGTGTGTGTGTGTGTGTGTGTGTGTGTGTGTGTGTGTGTGTGTGTGTGTACTTGTCTTAATGTGTGTGTGTGTGTGTGTGTGTGTGTGTGTGTGTGTGTGTGTGTGTGTGTGTGTGTGTGTGTGTGTACTTGTCTTAATGTGTGTGTGTGTGTGTGTGTGTGTGTGTGTGTGTGTGTGTGTGTGTACTTGTCTTAATGTGTGTGTGTGTGTGTGTGTTTGTGTGTGTGTGTGTGTGTGTGTTTGTGTGTGTGTGTGTGTGTGTGCGCGTGTGTGTGTGTGTGCGTGTGTAGGTGGAACAGCAGCTAGGAAAAGGCTTTGTTTGTAAGCATATTTTATTCGCAGTCCATTTAAAACGTCTATTAATAATAGGATTTCCGTCGATAGTTTCAGTAATGTTCCCCAAACTTGCATTAAAAATCGTAATTAATTTATCCAGAATTTCAACGACCTCTCTGACCTCTGTAATCAAGTTGATGAGGATGGTGATGATGATGATGATGATGATGATGATGATGATGATGGTGATGATGATGATGATGGTGATGATGGTGATGATGATGATGGTGATGATGATGATGATGATGATGATGGTGATGATGGTGATGATAATGACAATAATGCTAATAATGATAATGATGATGATGATGATGATGATGGTGATAATAACAATAATAAAATCCAGCAAAAGCCTGTAGTAATCTGGATCCTAAATATTTGTACACGGATTAACCTGTATTCACCTCTACAAAAAGCTATACAAATATGAAAGACAATGAAGAGATTCGCTTGATAACTGTTGCGATTGATTACACTAGAAAACATTTCCTTTACAACATAAATTCGTCCGAATTTGATGAATTCACTTATATAGATCTGATTTCCAAATTTATATCTGAATTATCATTGTCTATTGATATAGTTTATACTGAGTTGACGAAGTAATTAATGAATATCACTAATTTTGTTATATGTTTACAGCACATCTACGAAGAGAATGAAAAAGATAACAAAATTATTATTATCTTTCTTCTTTATTTATCCTTCCTAACTTACGTAAGAGGCTTAATGAAACGAAGATATCTGAGGTAAGACGACTGGCGATTTTAACCAATTTCTTGAATATGTAAAAAAAAATCTAAAAGGTATTTGCAATAGTTTCAAGAACAAAGAGAGAAGAGGGGGAGATCGAGTGAGCATTGAATATTTTTTAAGACACATTTTGTATGAATTTAGTCCAACGACGAGATAATATTCCTAAAATAAGTCAACATGCAGATACAAACTAAAAAAAGAAAAAAGAAAAAAAAAAGATAAATAAATTGTACAATTTACATAACGCCCTAAGTATTAAATATAATCCACATTATGCATAGAGAATGCATAATGTATGAATTTTGCTGTTTTACTTCGTTTCAAATATTAATCTCCCTCCTTTGCCCCAGGCATCTCCAAATACATTTTTCAGCGAGCAAGGGATAACAAGTTTTTTTTTTTTTTTTTTTTTTTTTTTTTTTTTTTTCTTGTTTGAAAATTCTGACACCTTTCCGAGAAGAATGAGGGATTAAAATGACAAAAAAAGGGTAAGGGGGGGGGGGAGGGGAGAGAGAGAAATTGAGAAGGAGAAGAGACAAGAAGAGATTAAAGATATGAGAAGAGAGAAGGAGAGGAGAAGGAGAAGACAGCGAGATTAAAAGTGAACAAAGGAAGGAAGAAAGAGAGGAAACAGAAGAGAACACTAAAGGAAGAAAACAGAAGAGAGAAAAAAAAACGAACCGAGGAGGAAAACACAAATACAAAATAAAAGAAGACAGAGAACAGAGAACAAGAGGGAAACCAAAGAAAAAAAATAAGAAAACAGAAAAAGAAAAGAAAGAGAAAGAAAACAGAAAAAGAAAAGAAAGAGAAAGAAAACAGAAAAAGAAAAGAAAGAGAAAGAAAACAGAAAAAGAAAAGAAAGAGAAAGAAAACAGAAAAAGAAAAGAAAGAGAAAGAAAACAGAAAAAGAAAAGAAAGAGAAAGAAAATAGAAGATAAAAAAACAACACAAACACACAAAAGAAAAACCCATTATTTCCCATTACCCCATTCGTTGCCATTAGTAAGAATAATGCTCGTATTGTTAACTCCAAGAACAGTCTTTGTGGTGCCGTCATTGTCTCGTATATTGTAGATGTGGCGTTGTTATATTGTTTTGTTACTATTGTCAATCTTTATTGATATTCTTTCTGCTATGCAATTTCTGAATTATTTTTGTTGCCCATTGTTGTTGTTTTTTTG